TTTCGACTTAGGAGTGCTTGCGAATGTTGCAGAGGACGGGGCCGACGAGTTTTCTCGCCGGGCAGCGATCCGTGCGTCTGCCAGAAAGCATTCGCATAACGCGACGTCGGGAGTAGGACGACAAGGGCCGCTCTCCGAAAGGCAACGCCACTAGCTGGATAATCTCAGGTAGGTGATGTCGCATGCTTTCGCAAAGGCCGACCGACGGCGAGGTTACCGCTAAGTGGAGCACGGAGTCTCGCATCGTTGGATTCGACGGCAAGAACGCATGGGTTATCACAGAGGCTGTGCCTGTCTGCGTGGCTGTCGGCGGGCTTCGACCGTGTGAAGCGGCGGAAGCGTTGGCTTACCAATATTTCTCTAAGCGCCATGACGGTGGCGTTGAGAGGTATGCACCTCCAGACGGGCAACGGCAGTCATTCGTGGACTAGCGACGTGAACTGCCAGAATCTCGGGCGCATGAGCACTCTGTGGAAGAACATCCTATGGCGACGGAAGAGCTGCCGGGGATCCCAGAAGACCCCGAGTTCATTGAGGAAGCATTTCTCCAGATGGAAGAAGATGAACTGTCAGATGGAACGATCGTTCCTGTGCCGCCCGCGTCGAGGTCGTCACAGGTGACTCGAACGTCCCTTCAGAGGTCGTTACTAGTCGACGTCCCGCACGGTATACAGAGTCGTAACGAAGTGATGCGCAGAAGAGTCGAGAATGCCACTGGTAGTACGGGAAGGGTTTCCGATTCTGTCTCGGAGCCAACTCCCGAACCAGCGAACCCACTTCTTGAGGCCATGCGCAGGACCGGAACATCAGGGCCGGGCATGGATCTTCCTGCTCGTAGAGAAACTTCACTCGCTGTTAAGCCACATAGATCGCTTGTCGGATTCTTCAATGCATGCGCCGTTCATAAGCCGCAATCTAAGAAAATGCTAAGGAGTGCAAAGAATCTGGTATACCATCGGGAATCTGGGGACGTTAACAAGCGGTTTGCGACTGGCAAGAGACGACGAATGGGGAAAATGACGGAAGTTCAACGCCGCCGTACATATTGATTCCGTGGAACTGCAAAATCTCTTCGACGAAGGATACCGAGTGGTAATTGCGCAATGGACTGTGAGTGACAAGAATGAACATCTCCGTAGACCTGGTGAATTTCCGGTTGCACCGCAGTACAAGAGTAGACTTGTCGTGCGTGGACATCTGGAAGAGTCGTTGGGTGTCCGTGCGGATTCACCAACATGCGGACTCGAAGGGCTCAGGTTGATAGTATCATGGGCTGCCGGTACAAAGAAGACGCTCAAGTGTGCCGGCATCACATCTGCGTTTTTCCAGGGGCAGGAACTCGACCGCCTCGTGCTGCTCAAGCTACCGCCCGACGGACTCGGAGTACTGGATGGTGGAGCACTGATCGTGCGTGTGCCAGGCCATAGCTCGCCTGGCGCAGGGCGAGGTTTGTGGAAAGAAGTTCGCAGGAGGTTTGAAGCTCATCGTCTGAAGGAGAATCGTATTGCCTGCTTTGTTCTGTGCTCACAATGACAAGAACGAGAGATCACGTGTATATTAGGTGCACATGTGGATGACACACTGTGGGCTGCAGATGATGAAAGTCAGAGAATCGTCGATTCGGTATTAGCAGAGTTTGATACTCGCGAGATCAGGTCGGATAGATTCCGTTATTGCGGTGTAGAAGTTGTTCAAGATGACGATTTTTTCGCGGCGAGTATCGCGGCCGAGGGCAATGCTGAGGATATCGAAGCCCCCTGGCGAGAAAATGCAATGAAGGCGAGACAGCGCACCTTGGGTCAGTCGAAGGTGCTTTGTCGTGGGTTACGCGTCGGCGTAAACCTGAGCAATTGTATCGTGTGAGCAGACTTCTGACTGCAGTGTGTCGCGCTGAGGAACTTCATGTCAAGGAAGCTAACCGTATATCAGAAGAAGCAACTCAATCCGCTGACTGCGTGTTAGTATTCTCAGGTGGAGCTGTTATGTGGGGTCAAGAAATGCTAGTTCTTGCTGTTACTAACGCCAGCTGGGCAGGAGAAGAGGATATAGTCAAGGGTGGAAGCGAGCCTCTCAGGTCATAGAGGGCTAGGTTCATAGGACTCGCAGGGCTTGGATTCATCGAACGGAATAGTGAACATGTTCACCACGAGTATGCAGATCTACATTACAAGCAGAGACCCTGGCACGTTGATGGGGTGTAGAATCTTGTGTGCGCATTCGTGCCGCCATGGCAGATGCGCGTGGGGTGCTTGGCGCAGGAAAGAAGCTGCCAAACAACTGGGAAGACAAATGAGCCATGGCTATGAGACACTTACGGATGACGGATTGCAGAAGCTTTCAAGAACATCTCATAGCACCAACTATGGGTACGACAGAAGATCAGCGCCGGGGCATCGATTTGAATAGTTCCAGACAGGATATTTGGACTACTGGAACTGAAGAAGTAGAGATTTTACATCCGCGCACATTTTGTGATAAGACCCGATGCACCGACACAAGTATTATGGCTGTTCATTGTTGAATGTCGGACGAAGAATCTGCATACATATTTGCATGTTAAGATCTTACGTACACTTTCGTATGGCGTAGCTGCATGCCCTGAATCTAGTTTAAAGAAGGTCAAGACGCAACTGGCGAGGGTTAGGATGAATGCTTTCCCATTGGGGAAGTGAGTGACTGAACCCTGGCTGTCTTTGACTTGGGTAATCCCAGCATGGGAGTACTTATTGTAGTGCCCCTGGAGGCTTATTGAGACCAGCAGTACTGCGCGGTGTGCCGGCTAGCTCGTGATAAAGTTTCACAGGTGTGAGATAGTGCGTGTGTCACGTGTGTATGTGCACCACTCGCTGCCGTTTGACCTCTAGGGGCCCCTTTTTGCCATTGCGGTAAAACGCATCATAATCACATCGCTTCTTGCGATTGCAGCACTGCGTTTCTGGCTGCTTTGGTGGCCCATTGGTTCTCAGCCGGATGCGGCTCGGGCTGGCGGTTTTGGGCCGAAGCGGGCTTGGGTTCTTCTCAACAGGCCTCGTGCTGGACCCCGGGCCCCCTTTAAGGGCGGTGCTTTTAGTTAGGCTCAGGATGGGATTATGATGTATCGTATGGGTGGCGGGGGCAAGGCTCGGAATTTCAAGCGCTTCGCGTCTCCCCACAAGCCCGTCCAGAAATGAACCCCAGCGGAGTGGAGGTGATGAGGGAAGCGGGGGAACATGCAGAAGAACAAAGGGCGGGGTAAGCCGCCATATGCCCCAAGAGGGGGAGGATGTAGGAGGAGTCGTCGTCGTCGGAGTAGGAGGAGGAAGAGGAGGAACAGGAGGAGGAGCAGGAGGAGGAGGGGGGGGAGGAGGAGGAGGAGGAGGAGGAGGAGGAGGAGGAGGAGGAGGAGGAGGAGGAGGAGGAGGAGGAGGAGGGAGGAGGAATATGAGGAGGAGGAGGACATGGAGGAAGGCGAGGGCGTGGATGACGAGAAGGAGGACAGTGAGAAGGAGGAGGAGGAGGAGGAGGGAGGAGGAGGAGGAGGAGGAGGAGGAGGAGGAGAGGGAAGAGGAGAGGGAGGAGGAGGAGGGAGGAGGAAGAACAAGAGGAGGAGGAGGAAGAGGAGGACAATGGCGAGCTTGGGGGCCTCTCGGGCCATCTTTGGGGCCTCTTGGCGGTCCTGGGGGCCTCTTGCGTATTTCGGGGGGCCTCTTGGGGCCTCTTGGAGGTCTTTCGGGGCTTCTTGGGGGTCTCTTTGGGGCCTCCTGGGGGCCTCTTGGGGCCCTCTTGGGGCCATTTTGGGACATCTTGGGGCCTCCTGGGCGCTTCTTGGGGCCACCTTGGAGGATATCAAACAAAGAAGGGGGGGCTGTAAATTAGCGTTGCCCCCCCCCCTCCCCAGGAGGCCACAATGGGGCCCAAACCTTAGTAAAATCAATGATTTTGGCTTCCTGGCCGAGGCCATTTTGGACGCCCCAACGACCCGCGAACCCCCCCGTTCAGGTCCAGGGGAGGGGGCAGGGGGAGGGGTGAGCCCCTCCCCGAAGGGGAAGAAGGAGGGGTGGAAGAGGAAACGCTCTAAACCACCGACGCCCAGAGGGCTGGTGGGATTCGTCGAACACGTGGCGAAATCAGATCCCTACCCCCGCCTCCCATCGATTTCAGGAGAGTCGATGGTTGTTGGGGGCAGAGGTCGGACGCCGCCATCCAACATCCGCCAGAGCCGCCAGATCTCAGGGGTCCGAGAGGCCACGAGGCGAGGCGAGATGCAAACGGGCCGCAGAGGCTGCGGGCACTCTGCCGTGCCCGACGAGGTGCTGCCCACGGTGCCAGAGTGGGCTCTGCTGGTTTGGGCGCCCGCGGCTGCGCGTTGCGCCCGCATTTGTGTGCACGGCGCCGCCGTCCAGGAACTTCTCGAGAGCCTTCCAAGACGGTCTTAAGAGGGCTCCGAGACGGCCCCAAAACTGATGGAACGATGTCGAGCTCAAGACCTACGCGGTCTCAGACCGCGCGCTGAACCAGCGCGAGCGCGGCCTTGAACTCAACCTCCTTCGCGCTACCCGCATTTGCGAGTCAAACAAGGCTCTTTGCCGTGGCATTTTCTTGAGGGCTCCGCACGTTTCAGGGCAAGTTAGCACATCCCATCATTAGATGGTAAATGATAAAAGCTTCTGCTCGTCTTGGGTTGAATGTGCATCGACGCAGAGTGCTTTCAATGGCGCCCAGTAGCGCTCCATTGCGCCCAACAGCGTCAATGGCGCCCAAGTAGCGCCGAGCGCCCAGTAGCGAGTAATAACACCCAACACTGGCATGTGAGGGAGATGCATTCTGTCCGCTGTGCGCCATAGGGACGACCCAAAACTTCCGTGAGTTGCGTTCGAACCTTCGAGTGGCAGCGGCGCGCGCCCGCGCGCCGCTGCACCTCGCCGCCTCGCCGCCGCCGCCGTTCGCCGTCCTGTATGGCGTGGCACCAGCGCGCGCCGCTGCTCGGAAGCGGCGGCGGCGGCGTTGGTGCGTTTCGCCAGGTCAGCGCGGAGACCGCAGGCGGCCAGGCCGCGGTGCCTTCCTGGCCGCTGGCGCTGCCGCCGCTGCTTCCGGTGCCAAGCGCTCCGAGCAACATGTGCCCCGCCTTCGGTTCCTCCTCCGCCTACTCGGCGATCGACTTTCGATCCGTACCCCTGCTGCTGCCCCCCCACTTTGGGCGCCAGGGGAAGCAAGGCATGGATAAAATAGTTATCGTGGCTCCGGGGGCCAGTCATTTATCCATATCCCCCTGGCTCGTCGTAGCGTCGGGGTGCGACCAGGGGCATGGATACAGTGTCGATCGCCTATCCTTTCCTCCCGCTCCTCAGGAGCAGCATTAGGGTTTCTATTTGGACGTGTTCGGACGTTTCTGGACGTTGTCGTCGATTCTCGGCGGTTTTCCACCCTTGGGATGGCTTTCAGCGGCTGCGCCTCGCCGAGAGCGTTCCAGGGATGGCCAGATCGTCCCGAACTGTCGCTGGAGGCCCGAGTTATGACTCGAAAGTCAGATAATTCAGGCGCAACGTTAGGGAGGGATAGGCTCAGGGGGGGACGCATTGATCCCCAATCGCCCATTTATGACTGGTAGGGGCCTGCTAGCCCACCCCGCCGAAGAACGTGAGGTTTCGCTATTTGGGGCCTATCGCCGATTTATCGGCGATGTATCGCCGATCCCAACTCGATGTTTCCCCCCCTGAGCTGGTCACCCCCTGAGGTTCCCCCTCATCCTTGCTCTCAGCCTCTTGCGGCGTCCTGGGCTGTGGCCTGCTGCGCCGAGTGTGGGTTATTGAAAGGTGTGCGTGTGCGTGTGCGTGTGCGTGTGCGTGTGCGTGTGTGTGTGTGTGTGTTTGTGTGTGTGTGTGTGTATGTGTGAGTGTGTGTGCGTGTGTGTGTGTGTGTGTGTGTGTGTGTCAGTGTCAGTGTCAGTGTGTGTGTGTGTGTGTGAGGCGTCTCGCTTCCGCTCGACCTTCAATGCGCCGCGCCGCTGCGCCCGTGGCCGCGACGCCAAAGAGTGTGTGTGTGTGTGTGTTGGCCTTCAGACCCCACTTGGCCTTGCACTGTGCCCTTCTACCAGCGTCCTCTGGCCCTCTAGCACTTGCTGTAGCGTTGCATTCTCACTGTTTCCACCATGTCACGTCGGCACGTTTGGCCGTCGGCTGCTGCTTTATCGTCGGACATCTGGCTTTGTCGGTTACCTTCGTCTACCCCGCCTCGATTGACCCACGCCATGATGACTTATGGCTGGCAGCTGGCGCTTCTTCCATGTCGCAAGCGGCTTGAGGGCTCGGCCGCTCCCGACGCGCGCGCGCGCGACCGCTGCTACGGAGTTTCTCCGCCGTGTCGCTGCGCGCACGGCCGCGACGCCAAACAAATGTTTGTCAGCGTGGACCCCGAGCAGTAGGTTATTGCAGTCTATTCGGTGCAGTATTTGTTGTGCAATGTATGCGATGCAAACTGTGTGCTGCTACCTATGCGGTGCAATTTATGCGATGCTACCTATGTCGTGCAACATACGCGGTGCAACCTATGTAATGCAAGACATGCAGTGCAATCTATGTGGTGCAATCTGTGTGGTGCAATCTTCGCGGTGCAACCTATGCAATGCAGTCTATGCGGTGCAATCTACGTGGTGCAGTTTACGCGATGCAATCTATGTAATACAGTATATGCTTTGCAATATAGGCGGTGTAATCTTTGTGGTGCAATCAACGCGGTGTAACCTATGTGGTGCAATCTACGCGGTGCAACTGCTTTTAACAAACGAGTTGACACATCCCGCGCTCTTGCAAACATCCCACCCACCCACCCGCAACTTGGTTTGCAAAACCCACGACGACGATGACGACGCCGACGACGACGACAACGACGACACCGACGACGACGACGTCAACGACGCCGACGACGACGACGACGACGACGGCGGCGACGACGACGACGCCGACGTCGGCGACGACGAAGACGACGACGACGCCGACGCCGACGACGACGACGAAGACGACGACGACGTCGCCAACGAAGGCGACGACGAGGGAGGAGGGAGGACGACGACGGCGACAACGACGACAACGATGACAACGACGAGGGAGGAGGGAGGACGGCGACGACGCGAACGACGAAGAAGGAGGAAGGACGGCGACGCCGACGACGACAACGACGAGGGAGGAGGGAGACGACGACGACGACAACGACGACGACGACGACGACGGCGACGAAATAGGAGGGACGACGACGAGACGCCGACGACGGACGACGACGACGACGAGGGAGGAGGAGGAAGGACGACCACGGCGACAACGACGACGGAAACGACCACGACGCCAAAGAGGACGACGACGACGAACACGAGGAAAGACAGAGGACGACGTAGGCGACGACGACGACGACGCGGGAGGAGGGAGGACGGCGACGACGACGACGACGACGCAAGATCGCGCGCGCACGCTTTTGTTGAACATCCGTGTTGCGAAACCTTTGGTTTTGGCAGGTTTTTTGGACACGATTTTGACATCCTTCCGAAGCCGATGGGTTTTGAAGATTTTCGGCATACGCGCGCGACGACGCGCGCGTCTGCACTTCGTCCCGTTTTTTGCAGAGGA